AGTGGACCCCCGCTTAACGATAACCTCCCAATGCGACCAATTATGTAAGTGTATTTATGTAAGTGCGTTCGTACGTGTATGTTTGGAGGTCTGAAATGGACTAATCTACTTCACAATATTCCTTATGGGAACAAATTCGGTCAGTACTGGTACCTGAACATACTTCTGGAATGAAAAAATATCGTTAACCGGGGGTCCACTGTATAGCATTCCTAAGTAGTAGGTTGGTAGACAGCAACCGCCCAGGGAGGTACTACTGTCCTGCCAAGTGAGTGTAAAACGGAAACCTGTACGTAATTGTTTTACATGATGGTAGGATTGCTGGTATCCATTTTTCTGTCTTATAAACATGCAAGGTTTCAGGTACGTCTTGCTACTTCTACTTACACTTAGGTCACACTACACATACATGTACAAGCATATATATACACACCCCTCTGGATTTTCTTCTATTTTTCTTGCTAGTTCTTGTTCTTGTTTATTTCCTCTTACCTCCATGGGGAAGTGGAACAGAATTCTTCCTCCATAAGCCATGCATGTCGTAAGAGGCGACTAAAATGCCGGGAGCAAAGGGCTAGTAACCCCTTCTCCTGTATATATTACTAAATTTAAAAGGAGAAACTTTCATTTTTCCTTTTGGGCCACCCTGCCTCGGTAGGATATGGCCGGTTTGTTGAAAGAAGAAATATAGCATTAGAACTTGACAAGATTCTAATGCTCTATTTATTCCTGCGAGAGATTTTAACCATCCAATTGATTTTCAAAAAGTTGAGAAAATTGTATCAAACAGGTCCATGGTTGACAAGAATATAATTGAATCACGTTCCATAAAAAGCTGGAGATTCGTCTGTAAAAACTTGCATTTGTGGTCACAGTGGTGCCTGTGCTAACCTTCCTATGGTGTAGAAATATACCTAGTTGGACGAATCTTATTGTGGCTAGCTGGTCTAGTGGCTAACGCGACGGGCTAGAGTTTTGAGACTCTCTGACCGCGGGTTCAATCCCGGCTGGGGTATGGTTTGTTTGCAATCGTGTCATTATGATTTCGTGAGTCATGTTGACGGCAGTGAAGGGACTTGAGCTAGAGTTCGTCACGGCCACGCTAGCTGGAGATTCGTCTGTAAAAACTTGCATTTGTGGTCACAGTGGTGCCTGTGCTAACCTTCCTATGGTGTAGAAATATACCTAGTTGGACGATTCTTATTGTGGCTAGCTGGTCTAGTGGCTAACGCGACGAGCTGGAGTTTTGAGACTCTATGACCGCGGGTTCAATCCCGGCTGGGGTATGGTTTGTTTGCAATCGTGTCATTACGATTTCATGAGTCATGTTTGTACATGTATGTGTAGTGTGACCTAAGTGTAAGTAGAAGTAGCAAGACGTACCTGAAATCTTGCATGTTTATGAGACAGAAAAGAGGACACCAGCAATCCTACCATCATGTAAAACAATTACAGGCTTCGGTTTTGCACTCACTTGGCAGGACGGTAGTACCTCCCTGGGCGGTTGCTGTCTACCAACCTACTACTTAGGATAAATTAGATTCATTTATAATTAATAAAATTTGGGAAGAATTTAATAATACATTGGACAAATAATAAATCTTAATTCTTGGGTAGAGTACTAGGGTTGGGCAAATATTTTGTTAGTGGGATGTCGTGAAGGACCTGCCTAGTTGGGTCAACAGGCCTGCTGCAATATTCCTCTTTCTTATGAGTCGGGTGTCATTGTGCATCAAGTGTTGCTTTGTTGTGGGATTTGATGGTGAGGTGTGATCTTGACCTTTTATATGCCTTCCATTGATGTATTGTTTTTATAGTTCCTTGATAATGTGAGAAGTCACAAAAGTTCTTGGACTTTCACTATTCTTTCAGTGATTATTTTGCATTGACCTAAAATGTCTGTGTACTTATGCCAAGATGGCTATTAAATGAATGATAGTGAATGTGCTGCTTTTATGGGCCACCCTACCTGGCAGTGATTTTTGAATCCGCTTCCTTCCCAGTGTAGACACTGGGTCATCTTATCGGGATGGTGAAGTTTGAGAAACTTGGCTTGACCAAAAACCTAACACCCCTCCTTACCTTCTTTATTTGCCTTACGTAGCAGGGATTTCCCCTCCATTAAATTTTGCATTGGGAGGTTATGGAAAGGGTCATTATTCTGCTAACACTATTTTCAGTGGGAATTTGACCATCAGATGGACCTTATGGCTCATCTGGTGATTGTCGGGCAATAGTAATGTTATTAGAAGTCACCTGCAGATCCAGGATTGGTGACTGTATGCAACTCTTAACCCTTTGAGGGTTTCGGACGTACTAGTACGTCGTACGCGCAGGGGTTTTCGACGTACTAGTACGCATAAATTCTAGCGCCGTCAAATCTCGCGGGAAAAGGCTGGTAGGCCTCCATATGAAAGAATGGGTCTATGTGGTCAGTGTGCACGGTATAAAAAAAATCCTGCAGCACACAGTGCATAATGAGAAAAAAAAAAACTGACCGTTTTTTTGGAATAAAACAGCGACTTTGCACTGTATTTTTGTATGGTATTTATTGTTGTATTCTAGTTTTCTTGGTCTCATTTTATAGAAGGGAAGGCATCTCACAGAAATGAGATGATTTTGACTGGTTTTAACAATGAAAAGTACCTTGAAATTGAGCTCAAAGTAGCAGAAATGTTCGATTTTTACCAAAATTCAAAAGTAAACAAATCATGCCAAGCGTCCAATACACGTCAACTTGGGGAGTCTAATATTCTTTTGCAAGTGCGCCAATATGATTTATACATTTTTACACTAATGCAGTAGTAATGCATAACAGTAAATCTTCTATTTATTTTTGAGAATAAAAATTCAAGTGGAAAGCAAAAGAATGTAAGCAGGGCCTTGAGACGTGACTAATGAACAGAGGAAATGTCATTTTAGTGCCAGGAATGTATTTGTTTGTTCTGGACCCTATTCGGAAATTGGCATTTTTTTTAAAATTTGTGTGAAATTGGCAAATTGCTAAAATTTTGACCACTGTATTTGGGTAGTTGAAAATTGTAAATGGGTGGTTTCTTGCACTTATTCAATAGAAAAAATGTAGTTCTAGCGAAATATTCATGTTTTTTGTCGACTAGTACAGAGGAATTGGCCGAAAATGGGGCTCAAATTGGGCAAAATCGCCGATGCGTAAACATCGCCGAGACCGCTAACTTCGCGAGAGCATAATTCCGTAAGTTTTCCATCAAATCTCATAATTTTGGTGTCATTATGATCGGGAAAAGATTCTCTATCTTTTCTTAAGAAAAAATTATTATTTTTTTTTTTTAAATTTGGCCGACCCTGAGAACGAGTTTCTGAGAGGGCCTGTCGACCCTCAAAGGGTTAATGTTCTTGCCAGTTTGCCCTCATCCATTACTAGTGGAATGCTGCTAGCCTCTCTAGCATTGTACTGTGCACAATATTGCTAAGCCTTTCAAGGTAGCTAGTGAATCTGCTGCATGGGCTTCTTATCTACCTCTGTCACAAGCTAAATCCTAAGTTCCAGGCCCTAAGGCTATGGGAAATGTTCCCTCTAACCATTTTGGAGGCCACTGGGAAGCCTTGTGATCTGTTTGGTATGGGGAAATGTTATCTGCTTTGAAAGGGTCTGGGTCCTGATGTTCCCACTTCTTTCAGTTTCAAAGTCAAAACTGAAATAATTTGCATCACAAAACAAATACTGTGGAGGCAAGACAGGCTGAACACTTACTAGTTCAGTTGAAGGAAGAGGTAATCTTTGCAGAAACTTAAAATTTGAGCATTAGCGTCTTTTGAGATTTTCCAAAAAGAATAGGTGCTCCTCGACTTGCAATGGGGTTACATTCTGACATACTAATTGTAAGTCGAATATGATATGCTAAATAAGTAAATACCGGTATTGAAAAGTAAATGAACACAGGTTACAGACTTTCTGCTGGGTAATTATCTCAAGTTTCATTTCCAAAGTACGTAATTGCTTTTGCACCATAAAATCAAAATGTTGTAAGTCGAACATTCATAAGTTGAGGAGCACCTGTAATAATATTTTTGTTTAAGCAAGACATGCTTTAAGTCAGTATCTTCAGCTGTACATGATATACAAAAGGCTTAGAAAGTTATATCTAGTATGTCCATGGTCGAGAGGAATATAATAGAATCACGTCTCATAAAATAGTTTTGAAAATTTGAATATTGCTTTTGGGGTTATACAAATTGTATTCTTTCTTTCTTTCAACATACCAGCCGTATCCCACTGAGGTGGGGTGGCCCAAAAGAAAAAACTAAAGTTTCTCTTTTTAAATTTAGTAATACAGGAGAAGGGGTTACTAGCCCCTTGCTCCCGGCATTTTAGTCGCCTCTTACAACACGCAAGGCTTACGGAGGAAGAATTCTGTTCCACTTCCCCATGGAGGTAAGAGGAAATAAACAAGAACAAGAACTAGAAAGAAAATAGAAGAAAACCCAGAGGGGTGTGTATATATATGCTTGTACATGTATGTGTAGTGTGACCTAAATGCAAGTAGAAGTAGCAAGACATACCTGAAATCTTGCATGTTTATGAGACAGACAAAAGACACCAGCAATCCTACCATCATGTAAAACAATTACAGGTTTTCGTTGTACACTCACTTGGCAGGATGGTAGTACCTCCCTGGGTGGTTGCTGTTTACCAACCTACTACCTAGAACAACTTGTATTCATTTATAATTAATAAAATTTGGGAAGAATTTATGATACATTAGACAAATTAAATTTTTTGGGTAGAACATTAGCTGTGTTTCATGGATCCTTGACTGCCTACCTACATCATCATAAAAAGTCAGGTGTTGTGAGGTGGCCGCAAGGTGTAGTCTCGTCCGTATATGCCTTCCTGTTAATCTTTTATTTTTATAGTTCCTTGATAATATGAGAAATCACAAAGGCACTTGGAATTTCACAATTTTTTTCAGAGTGGTTATTCTGCATGATATACAGTATTCTCTTTTATGAACCTGCAGGTGGAGATAAAGTTCCCTCGTGGAGATGATGATCCAAACATTGTTGTGGTTATGGGGACTCAGGAGAATGTTGATGAGTGTAAGGATCATTTGCTTAACCTGATGGAGGAGTATATGCAGGACATCACTGAGAAGGAGGACATGAAAGCATATATGGCTCAGCCTTCACAGGGAACCTATGATGGCAGTTCTGGTGGTCATAAGAAAACAGAGGTAGGTACCAACTCTTCACAGTTCAGTGTGAGATCTGTGGGTGATCTAAGCTTTGTTTTGTACTAACAATAACAAGAGAAACCTGTTAATAAAATATAACAATTTTTAGTGACCAAAAATGGTAGGATATAATTTTTTAACCCAATCATTATTTTGTATTGTGCAAGTGTGTGCAGGCACATTAAATCAAGTCTTCCAGTGGGCCTCAGTCAGTATTGTTTAACGATGACAAGTCTAAGGGCAATGTGTGGTGTAAATATTATGCAGAAAATTCGGAGTGTGGAAATTAGGAGAAGGTGTGGAGTTAATAAAAGCATTAGTCAGAGGGCAGAAGAGGGGTTGTTGAGGTGGTTTGGTCATTTAGAGAGAATGGATCAAAGTAGAATGACATGGAAAGCATATAAATCTATAGGGGAAGGAAAGAGGGGTAGGGGTCGTCCTCGAAAGGGTTGGAAAGAGGGGGTAAAGTAGGTTTTGTGGGTGAGGGGCTTGGACTTCCAGCAAGCGTGCATGAGCGTGTTAGATAGGAGTGAATGGAGACAAATGATACTTGGGACCTGACGATCTGTTGGAGTGTGAGCAGGGTAATATTTTTTTTTTTTTTTTTTTTTTTTTCCTTTTTTTTTTTGGGTCACCCTGCCTCGTGGGAGACGGCCGACTTGTTGAAAAAAAAAAAAAAAAAAAAAAAATTCAGGGAAACCGGTTATTTTCATATTGTCGGACTTGAGTCCTGGAAATGGGAAGTACAATGCCTGCACTTTAAAGGAGGGGTTTGGGATATTGGCAGTTTGGAGGGATATGTTGTGTATCTCTATACGTATATGCTTCTAAACTGTTATATTCTGAGCACCTCTGCAAAAGCAGTGATAATGTGTGAGTGTGGTGAAAGTGTTGAATGATGATGAAAGTATTTTCTTTTTGGGGATTTTCTTTTTTTTTTTTTTGGGTCACCCTGCCTCGGTGGGAGACGACCGACTTGTTGAGAAAAAAAAAAAAAAAAAAAAAAGTTTAAATTTTTTTGCTCTGTAAGGATGGCGGAAATAAACACTATAATGGCATATAGGATAAATTCTAATCATTCAGTAGAGCAAAAGCCCCATGTGAGAGACTTAGGATTAGTGAAGTCAGAAGATCCCACATTCAAGGATCACAACAGTATTGCCAATGTTCCTGCAAGGAAAGTGATAGAATGGATAACTAGACTTTAAAGACACAGCACTAGTCATGATACTCTTCAACTGTTCTTATTGGGTCTTTAGTTTGTGTTATATAATCGTGTGCCCTTAACCCTTTTGGGGTCTGTCCCAAAGTTTTACGGCTTTGAAGCCGGGGCCCTTAGCTGTGGTACTACGTCAGAGCCAGCTACTCAATGGCTGTGACATAAATTGGGCCTAGATTAGAGAAGGGGTCTGTGGGTAAGTGTGCCCTTTAAAAAATACCCTGCACACACAGGCATAATGAAAAAATCTCCATGTTTTTGGTTTAAAACAGCGTTTTTGTGGTGCTTTTTTCGTATTGGTTTTAAAGGTTTGTATCCAGTTTCTTGATCTCATTGACGAAGGGAAAGAAATTACAGAAATAGGTGTTTTTGATTATTTTCAGGACTGAAAGTAGTTGAAATTAACTCAAAGAAGCAGAAAGTTTGTTTTTTGCTGCATTCTACAAGACATACTTGTCCAACCTTGTCCAATTGGCCTCAAAATGCATTTAAAATGCATTGCCCTTATTTTACAGTTATTACAAAATACAGTAGTCTGCAAAAAATTTAAATTTTTTATTTTTGTGTAAAAAAAAATTCAAAGTAAAAACAAGATAATATAAAAAGGGGCCGGGGAGAACTAAGGGCAGAAAAAATGTTTTTTTAAATGCCGGGAAAGTCGCATATTTATTGGCCCTTTTTTTCAAAATTGGAAATTGATTTTTGTGTGAAAGGCCAAAATTTTACAAATTTCTGATCACTTATTGGGATTTGAAATAGATAAGGGGCAATTTCTCATGAAACAAGGGAAATTTGGGGCCAAAAATTTTGAGGAAAAGTGGGCAAAAATTCCCAAACCCGTAAAATCCTGAGACTGCAATTTCACAGAGCATAATTCGAAAGTTTTCCATAAAATTTTGCATTTTTGTGTCATTACCTTGGGAAAAAAAATTACTATATTTCGTAAAAAAATTTTTTTTTTTTTTTTAATTCTTTGACCCGGGGAGAATTTTGTGGCGGGGGTCTCACAATGAAAGGGTCAGCAACCTTGGGAAAAAAGGGTTTATATTGTATACAAATTGGTATGGTTAATTCATTTAAGGTATCAAAAATGTAAAGTGGCAAAATTAAATAAAACTTCAACTTTTTTTTTTAAAAGAGTGCATAACAAATGGTTCGGGTTTTGTAAATCACAAAACTTCCTCTACACAAGGATGATGGAAAAATTTTTTACCGGGGCCAACGGAATGTTCCTTGTTTTCAGTTTCCTAAGTATCACATACAGAAAGGTCATGCTTTTCGATACTCCCACTTAAGAACCCAAATTTTGTTCCTAAAGGGAGTTGGTAAGCGAATTAGGGGCGTTAAACAAGAGCACCGGTACTGGTAGTGGGGTTTTTGGGCAGCCGTTTTTTTGATGTTTTTTTTTGTACTTTTACACCATTATAAAATTTTTAGTACAGATTTTTTAAAATTTTTTATACAGTAGTGTCTGTATGAAAAAATAAAAAAAGAAACAGCTCTTATACATAGGGTTTGCACTGGGTTTGGGGAGCGTTCGTAAGTCTGAGTGGGCGTAAAAAGTAGGCCGTTTTAAATGAGGGGTACCTTTCAGCGTTTCCTAATGCAGCGGTTTTAGTTAACTTGTTTTCTTTTTTTTGCTTCCTACAATAAAAAATTTACCACTCATAAAGCTAAGGCCCAAAAATTTTTAACCCTTGCAGGGTCCAGAGGCAAAAATTTTGAAGTGTGCACCCGGGTCCAAGAATTTTTAGAAAAAAATTGTTATTTTTTCCCTTATTAAATGGTAGAGAATCTTTTTTTGAAGGTAAAAAACAAAAAGTAAAAAAAGTGACTAAATTATGCTCTCCGAATTTTTATGGTCGGCAATGTTTACGCTCAGCATTTTCCAAATTTGCCCCCATTTTGGCCAGTTACAGTATCCATCAACCAAATTCTTAGCTATTTCCTAGTGTTATTCTATTGATTAGCACAAGAAACGCCAAGTCAAAGTTTCAAAACAAAAATTGGACGGAAATTGGTTTAAATTTTCCCATTTAATGCAAAGTTCAAATTTCCAATTTCAAAATAGGGTCCCGAATAAATAAACCCAAGAATCCGGGACTAAACTAACATTCCTCTGTTCATTTTTATGTTTTAGGCTTTTACAAATGAAATTTCCCTTTTGATTCTTTATTTAATAAAGAATTTTTTATTCAAACCAAAAAATAGAAGTTTTTGTTATCAATACGTAATAATTTTATAAATAATATCACCACATTTGTGAATGTATATTAGTCCGCCAGCGTCATGATTAGACTTGAGGTCATTTGTTTACTCTTGAACTCGGCAAAAAATTAAAAATTTCTGCAATAGAGCTCGTTTCAAGCCATTTCCAGTACTAAAAACCAAAAAAATCCCTCTATTTCGTAGTATATCTTTCCCTTCTAAAATGGGCCCGGGAAAATTTAAAAACAACTATAAAAAAACGTACAAAAAAAAACTACAAAGTTGCTGTTTAATAAAAAATTGTCTTAGTTTTTTTTCTCTCTTAGCACTGTGTGCTGCAGGATTTTTTTATGTGGGGCACAATACCACATAGAGTTTTTTCTATACAGGCCCCAAATTTACTGCCCAGCTTTTCAGAGGGGGCTGGCTCATGGATAATTTACGGTTTGGGCCCCCAACTTTGCCGTTGATCTACGGAACGGACCCCGAAAAAGGGTTAAAGGAAAATAATGTGTGTATGAATGCATTTTATAGGCCCATAATTCTTACTTATAAAGTGTAAACATTTAACAGGTTTTTATATGCATTTGAAAGTGAAAAAAAAAAAGGCTGTTTTGCTTCCCAGCTGAGCCCCAAAAACCCAACCTGTCTGTACGGGGCCCTCCTTAACAGC